CGGGCAACGGCGGGGGAGGGGGGCGCCGGCCGGGAGGGGACAGGGAAGGGTTTTCCCATTGGAAATAGATTCCTAAGGATCAGGGTAAATCTGCAGATCCTGGGGTGATTCAGGGTGTCCCAGCCATGGCTGACCTGTCTGACAGGAAAGACCTCAAGGGGACTGACAGCTGCAAGATGGGGAGACTTGGAGAGAAAGCCAGGAATGGGACAGAGTGGTGCAGCGCCTCCGAGCTGCCAGAGTGTGGGCGCTGATAAACGGCTGGGACGCTTCCTGGGGCTCCCTCCTAGTGTCCTTGGTGTGGATGCGCCCACGGGTGACACCAAGCGCCCCAGTGTGGACTGGGGAGCACGGTGGGGGGCCTGAAGGGCAGGGAAGGTGAAGGGCAGGCACGCCTGTGTCTAGCCTTCCCACCCACAGACCCAGTGGGTGGAAACAGCCACGTGAGCACCGGTATCAGCAAAGTATAGCAAAATAGCCAGATTGAGGTCCGTTTTGAGTAGCGTATTTATAATATAACCAATTTAACTGTAAACACATACGACTTCATCATTAATACTGCTTCTATTTAACAACTGGCTCCAGAAATTAGGCACCGGCGCTCCCCGCACTCTCGGGCCCTGGTTCTGAGCAGAGTGGACTTCAGGCCGCTGGGCTGGCCTGGGCTGGAGTCTGGCGGACACCGAGCCCGATCCCTGCTGGGGGAGCCTCACTCCATGCCAACGCAGGTCTCCTCCTTTTACAGGGTGCTCCGGGACGGATGGGGCCCCAAGGAGAACCCGGACTGGCTGGTTACAACGTAAGGGCGCCTCCCCTTTTTTCCGGATCTCCATCCTGCACGCCTGGTCCCAGGTCCTCCCCGGCCGCCTCACTGCACCTGCCCTCAGGCTTCTGCAGCCTTGTGTCCTCTCTGCCCTGGAAGCACCTGGGCCCTAGACCAGTGTGGGGGCCGAGGCCCATCGTTGGTCAGGCAGGGGCAGGGCGGTACCCCCACCTACCCCAAGACCTCACTGAATCTCTCCTTCCGATAGTGGGTGCCCCCCCACACCTCATTTCCAGGCTGCACAACTGTTCTCTGTGAAAGAGACCAGCCTTATCCCATTTTCTGTGTCCAACTTGGCACGTCCCCTTGGCAGAGGGTGAGCCAAACCCTCATTACACCCCTGGGGAGACCGGACCTCAAGAAGCAGGGGGCCTCCTCAGAAAGGAACACTGAGGCCCAGAGGTGAAACAGCTTGTGTGCAAGCATGGCAGTATATTAAGGATAGAAGTGGGGTGCAGTGGGGTGTGGGGGGAGGAATGGAGAGGAGGGCAAAGGAGATGAGGAGCTGGAGGCTGGGGGACAAGATCAGAGGTGCTGGAGCCCACGGAGAGCCCAGGTGTACAGTTCTGCTCACCACCTGGGGGTGTCAACTGAGGCCAGTCCCTTGCCCCTGCCTCTGCCCTGGAGGACACAGCACAGCTGACTCTCCAAAGATCTGGTCCTGGGTTGTGTCGCCTGAGCCCCAGATCAGTGCCCCCTAGGGGGTGTCTGGGACCCAGGCCGCATGTCCGGATGGCCAGACCAGAGAGACACACGTGGCCCCCATGAGAGTCCCACATGCTGCTAGAATACAGCCCAGGGTCTCTATCTCTGGGGTCCTGTCTTTCATCACCTGTGGGGTCCTCTTACCTCCCCCATCTTGTTTCCTTCAGGGACACAAAGGCGTTGCGGGGCCCCTTGGACCTCCTGGACCAAAAGGTGAAAAGGTGGGTTTTTAGCCCTGGGAAGCCGCTGCTCGCTGGTGCCAGGCTCATTGGGCGCTGCGGCCAGAGTGACCGGAAGCTCATGGCAGGCTCGTCTGTCACTCTCGGTCAGTCAGGAGGCGGCCGCAGCCCTGCTTGCGGGTAGCCATGAGACCAGCACTCAGGACAGATGTCTGCAACAGGCACACGGTTCCTGCCAGCCAGGGAATTCTGGGTGTAGGACTCTCAGTGGCACAGTGACTAACACCAGGATCCCATCATCTCCTCGAATGCGGGGATGAAAGGCTTGCTCATGAATGAGATCACCCAGTGAGAGCTGGAGAAGGCCACAGGGACCATGTAGAACTTCAGCACTTCATGGCCAGGAGGGGACCACCGAGGCAGAGGGAGGGCGTGTCCTCACCCCAGCCCTGGCTGCAAATTCCATAGAGGAGAAATCGCTAGAAGCGTGATCAGAACACCCCACAGTGCAGGTGGGGGGCATGGAGCAGAGGCCCAAGGCACCAGCCCCCCAGCTCCTGCCCCAAGACAGAGCTGACCAGGCCCCCGGATCCAAGTCTCTGAGGACCCACTTCCCGACCTCCCTCCCCTGCCCATGGCTCAGTGCGGGGCACGGGCTGCAGCCCAGCTCCTCGCCACCCTCCCTCCAGAACCCGCCTTGCTTTTGCCGAGTCAGCACCCCACTAACTCTCTCCCGCTGTTGTGAGTCACCCTGGCTTCTGCTCAGCTGGCCCCTTCTTCCCACTTGGAGGAGAACACATGAAAATCAAAGTGGCCACAGGCCTTGACACAACCCCCAGGAGGCTGTCAAAAGTGTCACTCAGCCCCCTTGGGCCTCCCAGGCTCTCCCAGGCTGCAGGGCTGGCACAGAATGGGTTAACATGGACCCTGAACCAGGTCCGGTTGGCAGGGGGGGGGTCCAAGACTCCCTTGCGCCCCACCCTTCTTTCGCAGGCCTAGTGCAGTCCCTGTGGCTGCTGGGCAGGGGAGTCTAACCCCAAAGGGGCCTCAAGCCTGCTGGGCACTCGGGAGGGGCCCCCTCCTTGCAGGGTGGATGCTTGGGGAGCACCAGGCACGCAGAAGCCCACGTACCTGTATTCCAGATGCGCTTTCCGCCTTAGGAGCTGCTAGTGTGTCCAGTCAGTCACTATCCGCCTATATAGTGTGTTTCTGTCCTCGAGTTAGTGCCTGCAGAAAAAGCTCCAAAGGGCTCCATGAATGGATAGTCGCCCATGAGCAGATGGTGCAGGGAGGGAGAGCGAGCTCCCCTAGGACCTGAGCTTGGACCCCAAAGCTCAGAGGTTATTTCCCCAGATTTTTCCATAGTTCTCACCATGAGGGCCCTGGAGGTGTCAGTGACAGGTGGGGAAACAGACTCCACCCTCGGGGACTCGTGCAGGGCAAGTGGGAGCACAGCAGGCTGGAGTCCGATGCTGTGGTCAGCGGTCAGGCCCTGCTTCCCAGTGAAGCAGGCTTGGCTAAGCCTGTGGGCTGTTCAGCTCGGAAACTCCCTGTGAGCTCACAAAGGGATGCCAGAGGGATTGGGGAGCTGGGAGGCGACTCTAGCATAGGAAGAGGAGGGGAGTGCTACCGACTGTCCAGTGCTAAAAACGCACCCCCAAATGATAGCCATCCCCAGGTGACAAGGGAGGAGGGGAGACTTTTGACCCAGGCCCCCCTTGATGCCTAAGTGGCCTTGCCTAAGGCCTCCCCTTCCCTGGGGCTCACCTGGGGATGCTCACCTGGTATACCAGGGTCTCCCTGGGGGGCCTGCGAGGGCTGCATGGATTCTAGGGAGCGATATACATGGCCACTGTCATGCGGGCCTAAAGGTATACGCACTAAGTGAACACAGCCCCCTCCCCCAAAGCCCCCCGGACAGCACCTCCCACCAAGGCAGGACAGAGCCCTGGGCCAAGAGCATGGGACGGGCAGGGAGGAGAGGGCGTCTTCCCTGCCCTGTGACCCCTGCACCTTCAGCACCTGCCTGCGGGGCCCATGGAGGCTCCAGACACAGACGCCAGCCCTCTGGGGCCCAGGACGGCCCAGCCCCAGGGATGGCTCCCGTCTTGATGGCTTCTCAGGGTTCCCCTGTGCTCCCACTGCAAGGGGCTCATGGGTAACCAGGCTTGTGCCCTCTACCCAAGGTTCTGCCATTTGCTATAGGGCTCACACCTTCCAGGTAGTTGGCACATGGCATCCAGCCACTTGTCCCGCGGGAGGACAAGACCTGAGGGTGACGGCGGGCCTCAGCTCTAAACCCTGCTCTTGCCTTGTTCTCTGACTGCGCCTGCACCACGGGATTGTCCCTGCCGTCACAGTTGTGGACAACACCAGTCTCAGGAGTGGGACCAGGCTCTTGGAACAGAGTAGTGCTCTTTGCCTCCCATGCCGCTGGGCACCAAAGCTGTCTGACTGGAAGACTAAAGTAGTAACCCCCCCTTTACACCAGACCACTTGCTCAGACCTTCAGCAGGTCTCTCCCTCTTGGAGACTTTTCTCCATGGGAGAATGAGGGTGAAATTGGATACCCCTTTGCTGCCTGGCCTGAGTCTCCCCAGCTATGTCCCTAGCGTGGCTCCTTGTCCTCTGAGTGGAGTGCCTAGTCAGCAGGAAGAGAGGTTTATCCTAAAGCTGGTTGTTCCGTGTCTGCAGGGGGAGCAGGGTGAGGATGGCCAGGCCGAAGGGCCCCCGGGACCCCCTGGAGATCGGGTAAGACCCACCTGCATCCCCTGGACCACACTGCAGGGAGGGGGAGGCTGACAGGGGTGAGGCCTTCTGCAGAGGGTGTGGCCCTGAGGCCCAGGCCTGGGCCCCTGCGCTCAGTGGCCCATATTTGCTGCTGTCCTTGTCCTTCAGGGTCCAGTGGGGGATCGAGGAGACCGTGGGGAACCAGGGGACCCAGGCTACCCTGTAAGTACCAGAGCGCCTCCCTGTTGGCAGCGTGGGGAGAGTGGCAGGAGAGGGCAGTCCTGGCCGCGTGCGTGGCCTGCGCTCAACAGCCCAGGCAGGAGCCAACGCTGCCTCCCCCATAGGGCACTGGCTGAAGCACAGCTCCCTGAGGACGGGGGCTGGGGGGCTTAGTTCATGAGGCATGGGCCTCAGACCTTTCCTGAGGGAGGGAGGGAGAGGAGGAGGTGGGGACTCTGGGTGCCCCAGAGACACCACCCATGTGGGGAGCAGTCATCTCTGCAGAAACTGTAGAGACAGAAGCAGGAGACCGGCCAGGGAATGGGCTGCAGGCCCACCCGCACCCCACCTTCCTTCCTTCATCCCTGCTGGTGGGTTGTTGTCTTACCTGTTTTGCAGATGGGGAAACTGAGGCTGGGGGTGGTGGCATGTGGCCCCCCAGAGCAGCGCTTCTGGGGCTGCACCAGGGTGGAACTGTGCCCCCTGCCCTCTCCCAAGATGAGCTCCTCAACACTGTCCTTGTCTTCTAGGGACAGGAGGGCGTACAAGGCCTCCGTGGAAATCCGGGCCAGCAGGGCCGGCCTGTGAGTGGTGCTCCCTGCCACATCTCCCCCTTCCTGCCCCAAGGCGGGTAGAGTGGGGGTGGGAGAATCACACAACTTCTTAAAGGGACCCTCCTTGCAAGAGGGCTTTTTTCCCGCCCTGACCCTGGGGACACCCCCAGAGCCTGCACCCCCAAACCCCTCCCCACGCCTCCCCCTCCAGGCGGAGACTGGCCACCCTCCCCGGGAGAGAATCCTGGGGCTGCCTTGAGTCATCTCACCTTGGTTTGCAGGGGCATCCGGGACCCCGGGGGCGGCCGGGACCCAAAGGATCCAAGGGAGACCAGGTAAGAGGCTGGGTGTCCACGGGGTGACTGCGGTCCTGGGAAGGAACAAGGCAGGCCTGAGCACACAGGACAGCGTGGGAGGGCCATGAGAAAGAGAGGGCCCTATTTTCTGGGACCCAGGAGGGGGAATCACCTGGCTGAGGTCAACTAGAAGCATCTGGATCCAGGACAGTCAAGACACAGAGCTGGCCTGTTCCCAGCGTATCACAGCCTGTGGAGAGACACCTGGAGAATGTGCCAGGGGGGTTGCAGGAGGGAGCCAGGCAGTGACGCTCATGAGGAAGACGGTCCTGCCTGGCACGAAGGTCCCCTGTGTCGCCCTCCACTGTTGAAGTTGGGCCAGGCTCCCACCAGGGACGGGCTCTGTGGCAGGGGGCCTGCGAGGAGCAGGGGGCCCAGCGAGGCCAGTGGCACCACTGGTTCTTCCAAGGCCAGTCCTGCCCCTGGGCTTCAGACCGGGCTGCTTGCTTGGATTTGGCTCAGATGCCCTGAGCCAAGCGGTGACAGGCAGGACCTGGCCAGATAGGGGTCTTGATCTCTCTGCACTCTTGCAGATCTCCTGGGGTGCCACAGTGCCTCCAGGCACCTCCATCATGTGCCCCTTGATTTTACAGGGACCTAAGGGAAAGCAAGGCCAGGCCGGGGCACCAGGACGGAGGGGCATCCAGGTGGGTAATCCTAGTGACGCCCCCTCGGCCCTCTCTTGCCCTCCCTGGAAGCCCTCAACCACTTCTGTGTATCCCCAGGGCCTGCAGGGGCTTCCGGGGCCCCGGGGCGTGGTGGGGAGACAGGGCTCTGAGGGTGTCGCTGGACCAGATGGGCTTCCTGGCAGGGACGGCCGAGCAGGACAGCAGGTGAGCAGCACCTGGGGTCAGCGCAGGTGGCGTCTCCTGTTGAGACTGTGTGTGTGTGCACTGTGTGTGCCTATAGTAAGTAGTGTGAGCGCTTGTGTGTGTTGGGTGCTGCCTTACGCTATGGGTCAGGAGGAGCAGCTTGGGGGACTTGGATGGGACAGAACCAATATATTGAGAAGTTTCCTGGGCTCTTTTGGGGTGAACAATTGCCTCACCCCCTGGGACCTGGGAGTGTGGCCCTCCTGACGCCTCTCCTGCATGCCAGCACCCAGAAAGGGCATCCTCATCCCAGCAGACAGAGCCTGGTTTTAATATCACTCCCCTGCCCCACTCACAAATCCTCAACCTTCTCATCCCCCTGGTGCCTCCCCCCATCCTCACACTCAGTGGGACCCCCATCCTAGAGCATAACCTTCTGTTTCTGGGCCATCTATGTCCTGAAACATGGGGGACCCTCCTCTGCCTCTTTCTTTACAGGGGGAGCAGGGAGATGATGGGATCCCTGGCCCCATGGGCCCTGCTGGGAAGAGAGGAAACCCAGGTGTGGCTGGCTTGCCTGGAGCACAGGGGCCCCCAGGATTCAAGGTCAGATACTTCTTCATCCACTTACCCACGCTTCCTGCCTGAGTACTAGTTATGATGATACTGATTGCAATAGTGACATGTGCACCTATTTTAGGGCCTAGTGGAGAGTGGAATCCACATTGCTGCCTTTCTCAGGGGCCCCTGGTCCAAGCTTGGACCCACATACAAAGGATGGTTTATCCAAGTAGCTCTAATACTGCCCCCTCCCTGGCCCGCGAAACCCTCCAGTGGTTGTTGAGTTGTCCATGGGTGCCGCCTAGTGGGCCCTTTGTGGAATAACGTTTCCTGCCACAGGGAACCCTCGTCCGAGCCATCTGTTTAGCAAATCTTGAGTTACTTTGGGAGAAGCAGCCCCAAGTGAGGCTGACCTGAGGAATAGATCCTGAAGGGACGATTGAGATGAATGTAGGGGACATGCCTCGTGCCCTCCCTGAGCTCCGGGTTTCAGTGGGGAAAGGTTAGAACCTCCGTGAGGACTGCAGCAGGAAGACAGGTAGCCTTCACTTAAAGGAGGATTTAACTGAAATAGAAAGGACAGGGCAGTCTAGGCTGGAGGAGTAGAGTGAGTGGAGGTGTGGAGGTGGGAGCTACATCGTTCCAGGGGAGAAGCAGTGTGAGAGAGTGCAGGGGGCAAAATAAAGGAAGAAACCAGTCCTGTTCAGGAGGCTGGAGGTCTGAGCCCCTCCCTCCCGGCCCTGCACCTGTTACGCCTGCATCCACACTGACCTGCAGCTTTGCTGTCTGTCTCCTCGCTCCCCTACACCCTGAGCTATTTCCTCCTTGACTGCTCGTTTTGATGTATTTCTTTTAGGGTGAAAGTGGGTTAACTGGGCAGCTGGGTCCTCCTGGCAAGCGAGGGACAGAAGGCGGAATGGGGCTTCCTGGGGACCAGGGGGAGCCTGGATCCAAGGGCCAGCCGGTAAGTGAGCCCTAGGGACTATGCATGCTCATGCCTTGCACACACAAATACTCACATTCACATGTGCACGTAGGAGCCACCCGCCTGCTCGGTGACAAGGGTGCCACAACCTGAGTGGGGTGCATGGGAGCGGGCTGAGATCTGAGTGGTCTCTTTAGAATGAAGACAGGTGAATCACAGCCAGAACCAGGGTGCGCGGACTCCCTGTCCTGTGCTCTGGACTGTCTTCATTCTTCCTTCTGTCCCAGAGAACATTCAGCATACTCCTACCATGACAAATCAGGGAAAGCAAGGAACAAGTGGACGTGTATAGAAAATAAGTGGCATCTATTAAACACGCCAACTGAAAAAGATACTGTGAGTCTGAGTTCAACAAAAAGCAAGATTCAACAATAGTCTGCTACAAAAAGCTGACTTTAAATATAGACACAAATAGGGTAACATACACTGTGCTAATATGCATGCAAAAAAATGGAGAGGCTGTTTAAATGTCAGACAAAATAGATTTCTGAGTACAGGCTACTAGCAGTAATAAAGAAGTTCATTTCATATTACTAAAGAGGTCACTTTATTGAGATGGCATAAAATCCTATGCTTATGGACCTGATGACAGATCTATAAAATTTATTAAAATTATGGAAATATAAGGAGAAATAGACAAGTTCACAATTACAGTACACTTCTCTCACAACATATTACAAATAGACAGGAAGTCAGTAAAGATAGAGAAGAGTTGAACAACATTATCAACCAACTTGACCTAACTGATACTTCAGAATACTCCTCCCAATATCAATAGGATATATGTTTTCAAGTACTTCCAGAACATATACTAAGACAAACCATATCTTGAGTCTTAAACCAGACTTGATACATTTTGAAGGATTCAAATCACACAGAATAGTATATGACCACAGAGAAATTAAACTAGATCAATAACAGAAAGATATCTGAAAAATCCCCATGTTATGAAACTAAGTAGCAAATGTCTAGATAATTTATGAGTCAAAGAAGAAAGCAAAAGGGAAATACATATTTTGAGCTGAATGAAAGTGAAGACACCACATATCAAAATTGGCAGGATGCTAATATAGCACTCAGGGGACATTTTAACAATAACTCATGGGTCAGAAAGAAGGAAGGTCTCATTGAAGGCAATGACTTCAGCTTTTATCTTAAGAAAACAGGAGGAGGAGCAAATTAGAAGCAACATGAGTGAAAGGAAAATATGAAGATTAGAAATAAAAAAATGAAACAGAAAATTCAAAAGTTGTTTCTTCAAATAAGTAAAACTAATAAACCTCCAGCCAAAGTAATCAGGAAAAAAAGAAAATAGAAAAATCACTAATATTAATAAGAGGTGATGTTACTGGAGGTGATATGAGATATTAAAAGGATAATAAGACAATGTTATGAGCATTACATTAAAAAACTTATGTGAGATGGACAAACTCCAAAAAGGCAATGAAGAGTGAAGTTGGCCCAGCTGACATGGTACCTAGAATGTGTTTCCTCCTGTCTTACCTCCTGGAGCAGCAGTAACTGATGTCTGTAGGACAGGCAGAGCCAGGGGTCCCGTGCCGTGTCAGGCACCCAAATCCAGGCCCCACTCACCCTATCTCGTCCTGTTCTCCCTGCAGGGTGACTCTGGCCAGATGGGCTTCCCAGGAATGGCTGGCCTCTTCGGACCCAAGGTATGGATGCCCGCAGCACACTGTCCATGTTGGGGTCCCCTCTACGCATCGACTGGCTCATTTATCGACTCATCACATTTTTCTTGAGGACGTACAAGGGGGGGATGAGGACACAGCAGGAACCCCTCATCCACCGGTGCTCACATCCCAGCAGCCAGAGTTCTAAGCCCGCCTCCAGAATTTACCAGCTCCGCGCTTGGGGTCTCCTTAGCCTCACTTTGCTCATCTGTGCAATGGGCATAAAACCCTAGAGGGTTGTTATACAATTAAGCGAGGCAGGCAGCCAGCACGCTGACATCTGCTGATATTTAAGGGGACATGGTTGCTCTTCCCAAGGCCTCTCGAGTCTGGCCTCGTAGCGTGGACAGCAGAGGTTGGCCAGACTCGAGGGGTGGTGGAGCTACATGGGGGCCTTTACCCAGCGGCCACCCAGGCACAGACCTTCCTCTACCTCCCGCAGGGGCCCCCTGGAGACCTCGGCTTCAAAGGCATCCGGGGCCCTCGGGGTCCTCCGGGCTTGACGGTGAGCCCCCTTCTCTGTCCTGACGAGTCTGGACTGCACCAGCAGGCCCCTCTCAGCAGGGACTATGCCTGCTTTCCTCCTCCTGCTCCTGCTCCTTCTGTGTCAAGACCCCTTTGCCCTGGTCCCCCTCCCATCTCTATACCCTTGCATATGCTGTTCCTGCCAGGGGCGGCTACTGCTCCCCATCTCCACATGTGCAGCACCTCAGTCACACAAGGGGGTTCAGTGATGCTTGGCCGGCCCCTGCTTGAAAAGGTCTTCCCACTGCTCCCCGGGACACTCATGCTGCCCTCTGTGCCTGTGACTCTTCCCCAGACCCTGAGATGAGGACACATAAGCCTTTCTCTCTCTTCTCTAGGGAAAGGAAGGCATCAAAGGGCCCCTTGGAATCCTGGGACCTTCGGGACGCCCGGTATGTACAGACACCTGGCCACGGCTCGGTCCCTGGCCTCCCTGGCTCCGTGGCCTGGGGCCAGTCTGGGCCTCGGTCTCCCCACCTGGGGAATGGGGAGCCCCCTCTGAGCCTTCTCTCACTGGGCCTGGTTTGTTGCAGGGTCCAAAGGGCGACAAAGGCAGCCGCGGGGACTTGGTGAGTAGCAGGCTGGAGGCAGTGCTGCAGGGGTGGGGGGTGGGGGCCGCGCTCAGCTCGGGTCCCCTGACTCTCTCCCTGCTTTGTCTCCTTTCAGGGATTGCAAGGTCCCAAGGTGAGTGGGCTGGGGTGTCAGGGCTGGCGGGTGGGACGGCAATGGGCCACCCTCCCCATGACTCCTAATGCTCTTGGGTGTGTCCTTGCCCCAGACGATGGTCCAGTCTGTACCAGTCTGTGTCGGGGGCACCATGGTTCCAGATCTCAGGGCTGTTCCAGAAGGCCCAGGTGGGGGGAGACGGAAGACCTTTGTCCAGGGCCTCACTGTTCTTCTTGTCTTCTTCCAGGGTCCTCCTGGCCCCAGGGGGCGGCCCGGCCCACCGGTAGGTAACTGTGTTCAAGGCAGGGATCCTTTGAGTGAGGCCCAAGGTTCTGCCCACAGACCCTGGTTTTGGCCCTGACCTCATAAGGCCTGCAAGCTTCTGACAACCGGCAGACTTCTGGGAGAGTGTAGTGAACCCAGGAGGGCCAGGCTGGAGTAGACCCTCTCTGGCAGGACCCACCTCCCGGAGAGCAGAAACCAGGTTGCCCAGATCACCCCTCCAGCGCCCAGTGCCCATCAAATACTGACCCAGCCTCTTCTTTTGCAGGGTCCTCCCGGAAGCCCCATCCACTTTGTAAGTCGAACGCAGTGTCTTGTTTATTTGGGGGTGGAAGATTGGAGGCTGGGCTGGGGAGGGGCAGCTGATCCATCCTGGCTGTGTGGCTAGAACCTAAGCTGGGCCTCGGATGCCTGTGTTCTCCCTACTGGACCCTGGGCCCTGAGAAAGGACTTGGGAGGCAAGAAACCCAGAAATTAGCAAGGGAGTGCCCTTGACTGAATCTCCAAGACTCCAGCTGCTGTGCTTCAAGTGCCATCGGCACATTGCTCAGCAGACCAGATCACTGCGTTGGGTGCCTCCATCAGAGCCGGGAACAAAGAGTGGGCAGACAGGCTGATTGCCCTCTGCAGTTCCTCTGGGGACAGGGCCTGGCCGTCTGAAAGCTCAGCCTTCCAAGCCCTCTGGGCCCCTCCTGGTTTCACTGAAGGCTGAACTGTGAGTCTGGCCCAGAGGATTTTACCATTTTTGAATAGTCACGAAATTTTCAGTGCCAGACACCATTAGAAGTGCCATGGGTGTATGAACTCACTGACCCCTCCACAGTGCTGACTTTTATGATCGTGCCCCTTTTTAAGAGGCCACAACTGAGGCCCAGAGGTTGAGCCACTTGCCCCAGATTACACAGCTAGTCAGTAGCAAGGCTGGGGTTGGGGTTAGAGATTCTCCGCCTTGTAGTTTCCACAAGACCACAGCCCTGCTTCTACAAGTTCAGGGCTAGGGGCCCGTTACATGAGCACAGGAGGAGGAGCGAGACTGCAGGCTGTAGCGAGAAGGGCCTCCAGCCTCGCACCATAGCTTCAGCAGGGTCCCTTTGCAGCTAACGCCTGGGAAATGCTTGGCCCTTGGGACCAGATGCTGCTTTGCTTCTATTGACAGCCCTGTGCATTGCAGGATGGTAGCAGCATCCTCACCCTCCTTCTACTTGGTTGAGCCCACACCACACACACTCCATCACAGGCCACTCTGAACCTCAACAGGATCCCCTCCCCGATCCGTGGCTGCCAGACATCCCAGTAGGACCTGCCACATTGTGTGGTGTGTAGGAGCCCACACCCTCTAGGTTTGTGTGATTACACTCTGCTGTTTGCACAACGATGCAGTCACCTAACAATGCATTTCTTAGAATATACCCTTGTCATTAAGCAGCACATGCCGCAAATACAGAAGCACCCCCCTCCTGCGTTGACAGCTAAGAACAGCCCCAGAAATTGCCAGTTGTCCCCTAGGTGACAGCATCAGCCCTAGTTGAGAATTACTGCGATGGGAGACGGCCAGATGGAGCAATGGAAGGAGGAGAGCTGTAGGCAACGGAGGCGGCATGTGCAAAGGGCCTGGGGCTAGACAGAGCCTGGCACGTAGGGTTTAGAGGTGTCGGTGCGTCTGGTGCAGAGCATCTGTGGGAGGCAGAAGGGAGACAGAGCTAGAGGGCTCAGGACTCGGGCAGGGTCTTGGGACTGCCACGGGGTTTGGGCACAATCCTGAGTGCAGGGAGCTATGAAGGAGCCTAGAGGGAGTGGAAAGGTCGGTTTTGACTGTTTGCAAGGCAAGAAGGACAGACTCCCACAGAGGACATGTGACTGGCTGCAATCCCATTGAGGAAGGTGGTAAAGTTCGTGTTCAGACTGGAGACCCCCACTGGTGCAGCAGGGGGAAAGGAGGCAGCAGAATGTGTATCCTGTCTTCTCCCTGCACAGCAACAAGATGGCCTTGGGGCAGCTTTCCAGACGTGGATGGACAGTAATGGAGCTCTGAGAGCAGAGGTACCTGGCCCATGGGGGGCACTTTCCTGGGGGAACAGCCGCATGCCTGTGTGGTCAGTGGTGTCCACTTGGCCACCACCCCGTGCTCTGTAACCCTGGTCTTGAGGGTGTCTGGCAGCCACGGATCGGGGAGGGGATCCTGTTGAGGTTCAGAGTGGCCTGTGATGGAGTTCGAGGTCACCCGCCTATGTGAGTCGAGCAAGGCTGATAACAGGCCCTGAGCACTTTTGCTTTAACCCAACGGCCTCGCAGGGCCTCCAAGTTCTTGGTGGCTGAGTCGGCAATAAGGCTCTTCTGGGCCCACGGCCTACAGCAGCTCCCTGTGTCAGTCCCTCCATCTGCCAGGAATAGCAGCTCTTGGTCATTTCCCAGGGCACTGCTGTGACTCTGGCCTGCAGTCAGCTCAGCTCCTGACTCCAGGCCACAGAGGTCCTCAGCTGACCTCCAGTTGAGCCTCACTCAGGACCCCCTCTTCACTACCTTGTCTTCTTCCCTTAATGGGGCTCACTCACTAATGGCCCCCAGCCCAGACCTCCTACAGACATCCCTGTGTTCCTTGTGCCGGGTACCGTGGAAAGCTGGGGAACCTCTCCCTGAGGCCTCACAATCCAGGGGTGCAGCGGTATGGAAGAACGCGTTACCTCCTCCCATGACAGGATGGGGGGGTGCCCCGAGGCTATGGGGTGGAGAGGGTGGTGCTTCTGCTTCTGGAGCGTGCTGCGATGCCTCCCCAGGAGAGCGCTGCCCGGCACAGCCTTCAACATCGCTCTTCAAGGGCGCCCGGGGGTGACCCTCTTTGTACTGCCCAGAGCCCGCACACAGCGCTAGAGAGGTGGCAGCAGAGAATGGTAGATGTCTTTTCTCACACACTTAAAGCTAACTGGCTTGTTGCCAGGGGGCCTGACTCTGCTCTCTGCCTCTCCCCGCCCTGGCTCCCTCCCAGGTCAGCACCATGCCGGAGAAGGCCTGATGGGCCAGCCCTGACGGGGTGGTCATCACTCTGCTCCCATTTCCATAGCTGCAGTCTCATGACCCTTCCCTACACACACACACTCACACACACACACACACACACACACACACACGGCCGCACGCGCAGGCTCGAGCCCACACCCCAAAGCAGCTGGGAAATCCAGTCTGTGTCTAGGCTGAGGAGTGACTGGGTGAGCAGCTGCCCATCACACAGGCACATGCACACACAGGCGAGTAGCGCTTATGTAGCACCTCTTTGTGGCTCTGGAAACAGGTCCACGGCCCTGGAGCAAGAGTCCCACCTGGTCAGGGCTCTCCATGGCCCTTCCTCTCCACGGTGACATCCACCTTCTCCAGCTGGATTCCTCACCCCAGAGACTTGGCCCTGCTGGTGCCATTTCTGTCTCCTGACTCCTCCTCACAGACACCCCACTCCTACCTCAGGGGAACTGGCCGGGACTGGCACCCCACCCGTGCCCCTCGGTACCCAGAACCTGCCCTGGCCTCGTCTGGACTAGGCAGGGGCCACTCCTCAGTGTCCTCCACTTTGTCCCAGTTTTGTCATCTGTTGAGCGGAAGAAAACCTAACTCCTGCCCCAGGCGTGAGCCTGGGAACCCAGAGATGCCGTCCAGCAGTGAGAGCTCGGCGTTGTGGGGCTTGGACCTCGGGAAAGGACCTGGCGGGCCAACGGCCACCCTCTCTCCTCTTGTCAGGGCTACAGCCATCCGGACCGGCTGGTGCTGGACCAGGGAGGGGAGATCTTTAAAACCTTACACTACCTCAGCAATCTCATCCAGAGCATTAAGACGCCCCTGGGCACCAAAGAGAATCCTGCCCGGGTCTGTCGGGACCTCATGGACTGTGAGCAGAAGATGGTGGATGGTAGGATGGCCACTGGGGTCTGGAGGAAAGTGGGGGGAGGGGAACGACAGGGTAGGGCACAGCAGAGTTCCAGGGGGGCAGGGGAGATGGAACATTTGGTTCTTGACTCATCTGGGCCAAGTTTCGGTCCTCAGGGAGATAGGCATCTGGGCGGTCATTTATTCACTCAGCAAACAGTCAGGGTCCTGTGGCATACCACAGCTTGTGCTTTCTGGGGAGTGGAAATAAAGTAGGAAACACAGAAGCGGCCCGAGCCTTCTAGAGCTCACGGATGCACAAGCTGAGAATTTGGCCATGCAATGAGACAAGAATTTTGGCAGTAAAAAGCCCTGAAGTTTATCCCAACCCTGAGGACTCAGTCACAGCTTCTCTGGAGAGCCAGGATTTTCCCCTTCTCTCTATGAGCTGATGTGGTGCCGTGGAAGGATCACACGGTTTGGAGGCAGACAGACCTGGTTTGAATGTCAGCCCCTGTGAGCTGGACCCACAAGTCACCGCCCCAAGCCCAGGGAGGGGGCTGCACAGGAAGGGGGCCACAAGGCTTCTTGCAAAGCCTTCAGCTGCAGGGGCTTTGGCTCCCTCAGAAGGCCAGTGGGAAAGCCAGAGGGGCCTGGCTGGCGGGTGGGCAGCCCTGGCCTGCCTCTCCCAACAGCCCTAGCAGGATCCCTTGTCTTGCTGGAGAAACCATTCAGTCGGATGACCCCTCAGTCACTGGGGCAAGCGACTCAGTCTCTGACAACCTCACTTGTCCCATCTGTAAAATGGACACTTCCATGGCGACATAAGCAGTGCTCAGCCGTGTGTCCCCTCCAGGGGCTCTGCCGGCTGGCAGTCTGCCCAGGAGGCTGTCTTCCACCCCAGAGTCTTCTGGGATCCGTTTTCTGCTTCCCCCTCCCTGACTTCACACCCAGAGGGCTGTCCAGCCAAACCCCGGGCCCCTCCCCACATATACACACCGCACCTCCGTCCCATGCCGCCTGCAGGTACCTACTGGGTGGATCCAAACCTCGGCTGCTCGTCCGACACCATCGAAGTCTCCTGCAACTTCACACATGGTGGACAGACGTGCCTGAAACCCATCACGTCCTCAAAGGTGCCCACTGCTCCTACCCCTGTGCTGCCCAGCCTGGCCCTCTCACCCCCACATTGCCCTGGACCACAGCCCACCAAGGTTTTGGTCTGGGCCCTGACGGTCTTGCTTCACAGCCTGGGGAAAGTCATCCTGAGTTTCCTCATCTGCAAATCGGGGATGAATTGCTCAAAATCCATGATCTTCTAAACCCTTGGAATTGTATGATGCTGAGGGTTCTTCAAATCGGTCTTTCTGCCTAATGACTAAAAGTCACCGGTTGGCCAACTGGCCTGGCATGGAGAACCAGGACACGACTGCTTCATGTGCCAGAGTGTATGCAGCTGTTTAACGCGTGTGCTTTGCCAGCTTCCCCTGTGTCTAGCTCCAGGCTGAGAATTTCAAGCGGCTCATAGACACTCAGCAGTCATCCAAAGCCAGCCAGCAGAAGTGGGGCATAACCTCTCCCCGCAGGGTCCCCCTTCTGTAGATCAAGGACGTCTCGTTCCAGCAGGCCACCCAGATGTGAGAATGACTCATGCTGCAGTGAGAAGAGGCACCCTGGCTTTGGGGGGCTTGGGGGGTATCACCCCTTTACACCACAGCCCATTAGGAGCCCTAGGGAGGCGCCAGGAGAAGCTGTGCTGGCCAGCGTTTGTCCATCTCTAGGCAAACCAGTCCATCAGTGCGTCCTCTTGGGGCTGTCCAGGTGCCGAGAGTCAAGGACCAGCTGCCTGCTGCCCACAGTTAGAGCTCTGAGTCCAGCTGGCCTAGGCCCCTCTGCCTCTGAGGTCTGGAGACCACATGGGAAAGTTGCCCGGCCAAGGGGTAAAGGCCATAGTTTGCACCTGGATCGGTAGTAGAATGGCCCATCCTGTCCCACACCTCAGGTCCAGTGAACCACTGAAGACTTAATGGGCTTCCGTTTTCAGCAGCACCTCACCCCACGCTGGGTCTTGGAATTTAGAAAGAATGGAGACGGAGGCACTTCTCATTTCCCGAGCTCCAGGAGTCTCTGGAACTTGGGCCAGGTCCTCTTCTCTGGGCCTTGGGATCCCAGCTCAGCACCAAAGACCCCTCCGCCCATACAAAGTGGAGTGGGTGGTAGGTCAGATTATGTCGGGGTGGTTCCAACGCTGCCTGGAAGCTGGCCGGCTCCTTCCTTTCCTAGCCTAGGCTGTGGACAAGCCTCTCTTTCCAGGACCCCCCATCCTTTCAGTGGACACATGTCTGGGAGCAGGAAAGGCCCGTAGCCACACCACCAGGACCCCCTTTCACTGCTGCATCTCCTCTGCAGGTCGAGTTTGCTGTCAGCAGGGTCCAGATGAACTTCCTGCACCTGCTAAGTTCTGAGGTGACTCAGCACATCACCATCCACTGCCTTAACGTGACCGTGTGGCAGGAGGGCACTGGCCAGACCCCATCCAAGCAGGCTGTGCGCTTTCGGGCCTGGAACGGACAGATCTTTGAAGCTGGGGGTCAGTTCCAGCCCGAGGTACCCATGGATGGCTGCAAGGTATCTCTCCCAGCCCCCGATGCAGGGACAGGTGGAAAAGCTTGTTTTTACTATGAATGGGGTATGATCATTTTACACTATATTAGTATAGTATACATTATCTTTATATATAATTTATACTAATTCTACTATGAAATTACTTTTATTCATTTGCCTCCTGAGGCCCTAAGACCTGGGCTGGTGTCAGTTCCGCAAGTGGGTAGATGCTGTCATTTATTGGCAAGACCTTTTGTAGACAGATTGGATTTCTACTCTTCTGCCTACCCCTACCCTGTCAGGTGCTAATTCCTTCTTTTAGGATTTTTGGTTATTTTCAGATACCCAAGGCAAGGATGGATTGTTGGGGAAGGAAAAGAACTGATATATTGCTGATACATTGCAAGGATGTAGGGAAACCAACATTCTCACACAAAGCTATTTGAAAAAACCAAATTGCTAGAGGATTTCTGGACAGCAGCTTTAGATAGACAGACAGACAGGCAGGCAGACAGATAGATAAATAGATAGATAGAGGATAGATAGATGATAGGTAGGTAGGTAGAAGATAGATAGATAGATAGATAGATAGATAGATAGATAGATAGATAGATAGATAGATAGATAGATAGATAGATAGATAGAT